AAGGAAGGAAGGAAGGAAGGAAGGAAGGAAGGAAGGAAGGAAAAGAAAGAAAGAAAGAAAAGAAAGAAAGAAAGAAAGAAAGAAAGAAAGAAAGAAAGAAAGAAAGAAAGAAAGAAAGAAAGAAAGAAAGAAAAAGAAAGAAAGAAAGAAAGAGGAAGGGAATTATATTTTTTGTAAAATAGCATTATGAGCAGAGGTTGCTACTTGTTACAGTCACATTAACAAAGAATAATTAGAAAATTCAAATAACCATACATTTCAAAGCAAATATATCTGACAGGAGCCTTCCCTGATCTTCCTCATCTTGAGATGGCTTTTGCATGCTGAGAAAACAGACATCCTAGCAGTCTATTCCGTATAGGAAAAAGTAAACCTGATCCTTGCATCAGGCATTCTAGCCAATTAATGGGAAGGCATTGGCGCGATTAACAAATTCTTGAGAATCTTTTAAGTTTCGTAGTGTTAACATTTGATTAAAGACAGTTCAAATTTAATTACTTGAAACACTTTACCATGTATCCCTTGTGACATGTGAATCATCTGAGACTTGTTATATAAAGAGAAGAGAGGAATGTGCTAACTGGCTCAGATTTCTTTCTTTCATTTAGACTCCTAAAATGTTTACGCTATTGGACATTTCTATCAATGGAGAACAATCTATATTCTTCAGCTGCTGTTTCTCCATTGACTTTCCTTTCAGGTTCCTATCTCCCGGAGGATGTCTCACGATGAAACCAATATCTTTTCCTCCCATCGTTCGACTCCTTCCTTCCTTCACAAGTGGTCCTCATCTGATGACATTCGGGTGGTTGCTCCACACAAACATGGAGGACCCTCCAGTTTTCTGCCTCCAGAGTTCCGTAGCTACCATCCCCGTCGACGTTCCCCTGAGGATGAGTTTAGTACACTTCGGCAGTTTCTAGAAGCCGGAATGGCTCGGGGCCCTGGCTCCAGTGCTTGCTTCTTCCGTGATGAGATTACGACCTTTATTGATGAAACACCAGTGCCCTCCCCTCACAGCACTCCACGCCACTCACGCCTCCCATTCACAGTACAGCGTGAGAGGCACCATTCCCTAAATGGTGCCGAACTAGAAGGTCAACATCAACAGTGTTCACTGACTGATGGTGAAAACCTATACCTCTGTGCTGGAGAACAGGCGCCTGGCAAATGAACCATGGCAACTCATGGGGCACAATCCTTGCAGGAAGTCAGCCTACACAATGGCACCAAAGGCAATAGCTCTGCTGTGGATTTTTAAGGAAATCTCAGAACTAAAAATTTAGGCTGCCATGTTTTTTCTTGATACTCCAAGAGGAGAGGAATTATGCCATAAGGGAACCTGAAGTGGAGGGGAGAATAGTAGTGAGAGGGTAGAAAAACATCACGGCTGGAGAGCACAATGGCATCCTGCTCTCAGTGGACAGTTTGAGTCCAGACCACCCTAGTTAACTGAGGGCACGCTTTGCCTGCTCTCTATCTTAGGCGGTGTTGTTAGCACTATCCATTTCACACCTTTCTTAGCTCCACTCATTATGAGAAAAAAATTTGGGTGTGATGAGAAGGAATATATATATATATATGGAAGGTATATTCCATATATATATGGAATGTCACATGTGTCTGGTTTTTGTTTTAGTGTTAATCATGTTTTTGTGCTATTAAAGTGATTCAGGCTACAAACAGATATGTACTTAGCTGGAAATTAGTGGCCCTAAAAACTACAGGACACATCACAAAGGTATATAAGAGAAGAATCACCCTCAGCTAACCTTACCTACCAATGAAGTGCATTAAATGTGAAAAGAGGAATCACTTGCAGTGATCATGAAAGTGTTTATCATGCATTCCAATGTTGATTGATTATGGGTCATCAAGTCATTGTTGACTTTTAGAAGCCAGTAGCTCACACATAATATCTCTTGGAAAGCTTTATCATCCATACATTACAGATGAGGAGGGCTAATGGGAGACATAAAAATGTTCAAGAAAGAAATGGACAGTCACCATCAACAGAGACTGATGAAAGCAGGATTTCATTAGATCTTTGACAGCTATCTTTTATCATTATTCCACCACAGATGCAAATGTGAGCAGAGCTAGTGCCAAAACCTGGAAGAAAGATACTATCTATAATCAGCTGAACTTGTCTGAGTTCATATATTCAAAGTTTATTTTTATGTCAGATCTATCCCCAGATGGTAGTAGTTAATTCAGGGGAAAGAGAAGAAGGGATTTGTCTAGTGCTGTATTCACAGTTGAAGTATTTCCAGATGATGCTTTTAGTGTGCAGTTAGAATTTTATGAAGGTGAAGATATTATTTTCCATCAATCAGTTTTCCACGTTTCCTATAACTATTTTTTTTACCAAAGAAAATGCATTAAGGAAAGAAAGATGGAATAGTGGCATGGTGCCTTTTGACTGGTACTGCCTAAGAACAACCATTTGGGGACATTGAGTAGGGATATATCATGCTTTGTTCACTCCTATTTTGTGGTAATGAACCACCTCTGTTTTAGCAGATGGTAGCAACTATCCAATTTTGACTGATATCCCCCAAAAGCTTAAACAGAGTTGGATCTAGTTAGTAATTAGAAATTACTAGGAAGTGCTAGTAGACTAGACCAGGAACTCATAAAACATCCCAGAAGACAGCTGTTGTAAACTATTTGATTCTTATTCCTTCCTTTCACTTCTAATGATCTTGATCTATAATCCCTTTGAATAATGTCACGGAACTTGATTTTATATTTTTTCTTTGTCCCTTCTCACAAAGTTCTTTAAAATTTTAACAAACCTCTTTTGTAAAATCCATAGGAAAAACATCCAGGATTTCTCTAATTAAAATGGATATACAAATAACAAATTAAGACAATCAGTTGTTCTTTTGTATGTCCAGTGTAAGATCTTTTTCCATATTCTTGTAGCCTGTCATTTTTAAATCCACTTTCAACTCAGTCTCAATCTTGTCAAGTAAAACCTTTCCTAACATCTTATTAAACAAAGTCTGTCTATGACAGACATTCTTAAAATTAACTTCTGCATCCATGATTCAAAAATATGTGTTGGTGTGTCCAATGTTAATTTTGCTTCATTCTGTAAAGTTGAATTTGAGATTTCTCCTTTAATTGTAATTGTTAGTTCCCTCTAATATCCAATCTTTAAAGTCTTACTTATCCTGAAAATTCAATTTTGAAAGAAATAAATAAAAACAAAAGCATTTTCCTATGAGAAGGATTCTTTATAATTAATTCTAAAATCTTGCTTCATTTGTGCTTAGTCCACTTAGTTTATTTGTAACTTTCTAAAATTAAATTTTATTCACCTTCTGCTGGTTATTCCCCCTCCCCATTTTATATAATTCTTGAACTTCTAGTTAAAACTTCTTTTGCTAAGGATTTTAGGAAAACTGATCTGATGTATAAAATCTGTTTGATCCAAAGGTTTGATCCAAATAGCTAAAAAGCAATTAAACAATTTCTGAAAGTGATTAGAAAGGTAGTATGTAATCGTAGTGTCCTTGCAAAGCTGCCAACTATGGCTTGAGCAAGATGACTCTTTTCTTGTTTTCCAGAGCTCTCAACCCACCAGACATGCTGTCTTGGTCTCCTTGAAGGGAGCAGTTGTCTGGAGCACTTGTGGGTGATCTCAAGTTCTCTCTTTGAAGAAGAAATATCAAAGAGCCAGTGTACTCACCAGTTCTTCATTCTGCTGTTGTTGTTAGCTCCACTTTTTGCAGAGCCATCTTCAGACTGTCATTTATTCCTTGGAAGTCATAAATGGGCCTTTTTCTGAACATATTAGATATATTAGATAGATAGATAGATAGATAGATAGATAGATAGATAGATAGATAGATAGATAGATAGA